AAATGAGGACCCGGATTGTTGTTGCGGGCGATATGCTGACTCTGCAAACCGCTTAGAGAGGGCTGGAAGCCCTATGAAGCGGTATATAAGTCTAACTGCTATTGCTATTGCTACCTCCCCCCCCCTCCCCGCAGACTCCGGGGCCTTGCAATTATCGCGTGGTGGAGACCAGCGTCTACAAGAACCGCCCCCCGCATTACAGCATCATCGCGCGGAACATGCTTCCAGGGGACACGACCATCATCCCTGGGCCTGGGGCCTACAGCCCGGAGAAGGTGAGGGCCTGCGAGGAGGGAGGGGCTTCTGCGGGGCTCCCCTGCAACCCAGAGGCCATGGGACGGAGGGGGAGGGGGGGCTGCTGCCCGACTCGGTCCTTCCTTTGGGCCGTCGGCTTCCTTGGCCTGTGCCAAAAGTCCTCGAGTTACGACCACGATGGAGCCTGCCCCTCACGGGCATAACCCATGGCCGTCACAAAGTGGGTCATCCACCTGCTTAATTTCGAACACCTCCTTCCTTCCCCTCTGCCAATGCAGAGCGTCCTCGTAGTACAGTCTTCCGCTCACAGTCGTAACTCACGACAGTCGCAAATCAGGTCGACCATCTCATTTCCTTACAATACAGGGAGTCCTCGAGTTACGACCATAACAGAGTCTTCCTCTTGTGGTTGTAACTCAGGACACAAAGCAGGTCAACCACCTGCTTAATCATCTTCTTCCTTACAACGCAGGGGGTCCTCAAGTTGCAACCCCAATGGAGACCTCGTGGTCGTAACTCCTGACGGTCCCCCAACCCCCCTCCCCAATTTTGCCAACTCCGAGCCGACCTCTTCTGCGAGGCTGAGGGGGGGAGGGCTGCTTCCTGGCCCCCTCCCCTCCCCTTCACCCTCCCCCAGGAATAACGCTGCCTTCCTTTCTCTCCTCTTCCCCCCCTCCCCTCCCCAAATCCCACAGCACAATCCGTTCCGTGGCCTGACCTTCGGCATCCGCCATTCCGACTACGTGGCTCCTCTCATTGTGGACGTGGTAGATTAGGCCACGGCTGGGCGGGCCGGACAAGAAGCCGTTCTTTGCCAAGTTTGGGTCTCTGGTCGATGCTTGGGGGGGAGGGGGTTCCCGTGTGGGGCAGAGAAGGGGGGGTTGCTGGGCAGGCACATGAGAGGCTTGGGAGGGTCCTCAGTGGGGGGGGCAACTCAGGGACCCCCAGTTCCCCTAGGAAGGTGGGGGGATGCTGCAGCGTCCAGGGGTGTCCCACTGCTCCGACCATTTGGCCAGATTGCTGTGCCAGGCGGGCATTTGGCATTTGGAAACCCACCATTTTTTTTTGGCATAAACCAGGGTTCTAAAGTTCAATCAGCCGATCAGCCTTCTTTAGGGGGTCTTCCCAAACAGGGTCAAAAAAGTCAAGATGGCGGCCACCCGGGTGGACTCAACGCTGCCCATAGCTTCAATGGCATCCCCTTGATTTCTTTTGCACCCGTTTTATGGAGTTCTTCAAGCGGTCCATGCCCCATTCAGCGACTGAAGGAGCAGATTGCGTGTCCGGTGTGGACTGGCACAAATCACACCCCTGCCTGGCGTGGCAAAAATTCTGGCGCTCTGAACCAGCTCGGCTCTTAGCTGAGTTCTCTGCAGTTGTTCTACTGCAGCAAGTAGCCGTTGTGCATTCTCCCTTGACCCTTTGGTTGTGGAAACACAAACACACACCGATCTGGGGGCCATTCTGCCCCACCGTCCTGACGCACCCCACAAACCCTGAGCCAAGTGTTAGTCTACAGAGGGAGGGGGGGGTCTCCAATCCTGGCCACTTTAAGACTTGCGGAATTCAATTCCCAGAATCCCTCAGCTAGTGTCAGATGCTGCTTCATTTAATAATCAGGAAAGAAACCACTCAACTCCATTTGATTGAAATTAAGTGTACTTTTACTAATTACAAATGAATAGTAGCGAAGCTAAGCTGAATCTGGTCAATTAGGTGTGAAAGCAAAGAATATCATGTATAGTTCAATAAGGTTCAGGAACCGGTCCCTGATAGGGCAACTTGTTCTATTGAAGCCAATGATTGTGGAGATTGGCCAGAGGCAAAAGAAGCAGTGGGAGGATCATACTGATGAAAGAAATGTCCTTCTGGGTTCAGCTCCAAGTGGGGAAAAAGACACTAGAGACATGGAGGCTGC